GTTTTATGTTCTAAGATTGTAGAGCCTGCGTTGTATTTCGGAACATACCCTTAATTTCTAATTTGTGTTTGTGTATTGATATCGCTATTTTATTTTACTTCAGTGAAGTTGTTCAATGCATATTTTATCAATAAACTTTTCTGGAGAACAAGTTTCAATTTTCTAATACATGTACCAATATTAAGAAATGAACAACAATCTTTATAATTATATAACTTATATTTAGCACACGAACTATGACGACCAATAATGTTATTACGACTCAACCCGTGGGTAATCATGCAAGAATATCAGATCAGCCGCCTAGCTACGAAGAGATTTCTGCGCAGCCGCTTTCTGATGTAGTTGAAAATGTGAATACAAAACTTACAAGTATGAATATTGATGCTGTGCAGGAGTCTGCCACAGGAAATGCTAAAGATGAAGAAAGAAAACGACAAAATCACCACCGCAGTGATGATTGCTGTTTTGTTTACGATGACATTGATTGTATTATATACAAATGGTTTTCAAATTGTTGCCAACGGTTAGCGGATTGTACAGAATCATGTTGTGAAGGCTGTGCTGATTGCCTGCATGATTGTTGTGAATCAAATACGGTAGAAGAATATAATGATGATGGATTTTGTGAGTTAAATACAGTAGAAGAATATAATGACGGAGGATGCTGTGAATCAAGTACAGTAGAAGAATATAATGATGGTGGATGCTGTGAATCAAGTACAGTAGAAGAATATAATGATGGTGGATGCTGTGATTCTGGTGATTGTTATGGAGGGGACAGTGGGAATAATGATAATGATTGTGATTGATGTAATGATTAGTTCCTAAGAAAAGTTTATTTAAGGATCAAAAGGACAAAATAATTTTATGCTATTATATCTACAGGGTCGGCTTTAGTAATCTGCTGCACGATTTAAGTGATTATTTTAGCTTTAGTTGACAGACAATGATGCTATTGATTACCATTTAGCAGCTTTTTATGCCGGAAATCTTTATTTTTCGAGATATCGATAGTTAAAGTTTCGAGGTTATATCGGATTGGCTAGACATCCAGTACTTGATTTTGATAATGTTTTTAGCCTAGGAGGCTTGTTAGGGTTAATCTTAAACCTATCACACTGTTTTTAGATGTCGGAAATGCATTTTGAATTAATTATGATAAAAACAAATTTCACCAAAAATAGTGTAATATGTCAATTTGTTCTCGGATTATGAAGTAGATTTCCGATACTTGATTTTTTAATTATGTTTTCAATTTATGAGGATTGTCAGGGTTAAGCTCGAACCATTTACTCTGTTTTTGGATTTCGGAAATGCCTTTTGAATTAATTATGATAAAAATAAATTTCACAATAGAGCCGTTGCAGAAGTAACTGCGTCAGTATTCCTGTATAAAAAAGTGAGGTTATGATTTTATTAAAAAAAGGGGTTTCCGGCACTTCCCCCTTTTAGGGGAGGTTCCTCCCACCCCCCACTCGGTGCATTCATGCGGCAGATTACTAAAAAAATCATAAAAGGGGGGTTCCGGCACTTATTTATTTTAGGGGGAGGTTCCTTCCCCTCCCCCCCCCCATCTACCCGCCCACTCGGCGACTATAAATTCGTGCAGCAGATTACTAAAGAAATACCTATCTACATTTTGATATATTGATTTTTACAATGTTATTTCATGGGCATGAAATACTTAATAATGGGATGGTAATGTAATGTTAATTAATATGTAAGAGTGTAGCCGGTCAGTTGTGAGAGAGATAACAGCAGCCTGTGCCAGCGTTACGGCATAGGGTATGGTATGGTAGGGTATGGTATGTAGTTATGGTTCTGTGTCAAGTTGCTGTCTCTTTAGACTGAGAGTAAGGGAATAGAGAATGCTCATCTGCTTGTGGTCACACTCGTGCATGATAATCCTGTCCCCTGCCGGTGGCTAGTCTCCATAGAGATTGGCTTCAATGACCAAAATTCATTCTGGCGGACAATAATGTTAGTATAATCTCAATGTGACCAGTTTAATGCTTTTGTATATTTACATAATCTTTGTATAATTAAGCTACAATTAATTAATAACTAAATTACAAATAATTAATAAATAAGTTACAGTAGGTGAGTGTAATAACATCTCCAGGTACAGCTGCATAAGCTACAGCTTTGCTGGCCGTGTAACTCATTGAAATGCAGTGCGGAATGAGATCTTTAATTTTTTTAAATATCACAATTTTTTTAAAGCAATCTTATTGGGAGCTTTTCTGTTGTTATCGGACAAAGAGTTCCAAAGGCGTATAGCCTGAACTGTAAAGGAGTTACCATAAAACTCTGTGAAGTGAACAGGAATACATATTTTGTTGTTAGAAGTACATAGAGCCCTATCATGAGATGAGGAGAGATAGTGAAATTTACTCTTAAGATAAGAAGGCGAAGATGGGTCATTTAATATGGAAAAAGGAACAAGTAATATTCTGGAATTGTAAGCCAATTAAGCTTAGATCTGTATTGTGAATATAGTTATACTTAATATTTATATATTTTATAGTTTTTAAATTGTTCTAAAATAACAATGGTGCTACTCTGATTACCAATAATTTTGTTAATGCATTTACAATATTATGCAACTACTATAAATATACAATTTCTTTTTTTTAATTTGTTTTTATAATTTTGTCTCACAAATAAAATTCATTCTACAGCTGGGCACAAGCTACTCATTTATGAGAAGTTTGGACAGTGCATACTTCACATGTCTACAAAATATTTGATTTTTCAGACTGCCAAGCATGTAAATAATTTACAACACAGTAGTATTGGCTAGGAATATATGCCTATGCAAGACATAAAAACAACTTAGGCCAGTGCCTAAACCTTCAGCTACCACTGCTTTATTCAGCCTCCTGAGGCTGAGAATGCATGGATTGATATCCAACCTGCCCACAATTGCAGAGAAACTATTATTTTATGTCAAATGTCACCAGACTGCAATTCTGTATGGATTTGTACCCACTGCAGAAGTGTTAATGCCTGCAATCTTGGTGAGAGATGATCACAAAGCAGCACCAAGGGTGGATGCATGCTTCCAAATTGGGAGTGGTCGACCTGTACTTGAACCAAGATTTTCAAAGGAGTTTTAAGTTAGAGGCACAGAAAATCTATACCTTGCAAACTTTTTCTCTTCTCTTTTATATATGTAACCCCGACTAAGATTTTCTTCTGTATCTGGATGCTGTTTACAAATATAAAATAAATCCTGATTTTACAGGCCAAAATTCAATTCGAGTAAAATCAGTTATTGTCAAGAAATTCTCAGTACCAGCCCTGAGTCATAAAGTTGGCGGAATTTCAAAGACAATGAAACTGCACTGGCGCAAACAATCCGGCACAATAATCCTGTCCTAGCATATATTTGTTTGACTGTTCGGTGGCACAGTGGCTTGGCGATGAGTTGCTATGGCTAGGGACCATAGGAAACAAGTAATTGTATGGCCTACAAATAATTGATCCGGGTCTTCAATGTTCTTGAAATCCTGGATCCACACTTTGTGCCTACTAAGATTGTGGGCCTTAACGCCTCTATGCGGTGGGCATGAATCCACACAGAACTGCAATTGTAAAAAATTTAAAATAAAATAGTAGTTCCTCCGCCATTGTGAGCAGGTTGAATATCGCTCCATGAGTTCTTAGCTTCAGGAGGTTGAATAAAGCTGTGGTAGCTAAAGGACTAGGCACAGGCCTTACATTTCCAGGCAATATTATTAAATTATAAATGATTTACATGACTGGCAGTCTGTAAACTAAAATATTTTGAAGACATGTAAAACCTATCATAAATGAGAAGTTTGATTTTTTGCTGTAGACAGCTGGGCACAAACATTATAATGTAACTTTGTTCATGAGACAAAATTAATAAAACAAATTGTAAATAGAAAAGTGTATATTTATATTACATCAAAATGTAAATGCATTAACAATATTATTTGTAATCAGATTAGCACCATTGTTATTATAGAACAATTTAAAAATTATAAAATTTGATTTTTAAATAATGTAAAAAGTTTACAAATGCTTCATGACAAACATTGGAAGTACTTTATGTATATTTTTCAGTCTTAACAGCATGAGATGTGGCTAATAAAGTACTCAGTGGCACCAATATTATTAGACCACTGGAAATGGACCTCTATCATCATGTGAATGATTTGACACAATGACCACATTCACATCACTGCCACAAAGTGCAGATCTAATCTCCAGACCTATCCTATTATTATTAACATTACTTATAAAGAATCTAATTAAGTTTAGCTCAAATTCAGTGACATTATAAAAACTTGATAAATCTGCATTTGATAGGCCAGTGGGGCCATTCAATACAATGCAGCTTTACTTTATTACTTCTTTTTATAGGATAGGATGACAAACGAGCACACAGTCCACCTGACGGTAAGTGGTTGCTGTGGCCCATAGGCATCTACATCTATCCTCGATTACAAATCAAAATGCAGATGTGTTGTCATCCATGAGGACTTAGGTGGAATGCCTCGTTTCCAGTAAAAGAGTCTTGGTTTAACTTTAGGTATTTGAAGTGAAGGTGTTGTTCTTGGAGATAATATGGCACTTACTTTGAATAAAGAAATAAGAAGGTTTGTGTTTTGGAGTTGCCATGTTGGGTGAATCAGACCTACTTTTGCTTGGTTGCTTCCTTAATGCATTACCAGGTTACTATGTAGTTCGTATTTTTTTTTAATTATTCAGCAGCCCTTCGCCATGATGGTGGTATTGGTTGCTATGTCTCTCTCTTACTACTCTGACCAGCTACACTCCTACACATTAATTAATATTACAGTAACATCTCATTATTAAGTATTTCATGCTTATTAAATAACATTGTAAAAATCAATATATCAAAATATGTAGCACCACAAAATAATTTTGTGCTTAATAACCATAATTAAACTTTTCTTAGGAACTAATCAAAGCAATTACAATCATCATTGTTTCCACTGTCCCCTCCACAACCACCACCAGAATCACAGCATCCACCGTCATTATATTCTTCTACTGTATTGAATTCACAACATCCACCGTCATTATGTTCTACTGTATTTGATTCACAACAATCATGCAGGCAATCCGCACAGTTTACACAAGATTCTGTACAATCCGCTAAACATTGGCAAAAATCTAAAAACCATCCGCAGGTAGAACAATCATTGTCATTGTTTAAAAAACAGCAATCATCACAGCATCGGCGATTTTGTCTTTTTCTTTCTTCAACTTCAGCGTTTCCTGTAGCAGACTCCTGCACAGCGTCAATATTAATATTTGTAAGTTCTGTATTTACATTTTCACCTACATCAGAAAGCGGTTGCGCAGAAATCAGCTCTTCATATCTAGGCGGCTGATCTGATATTCTTGTAAGATTACTTATGGGTTGAGTCGTAATAACATTATCGGTCGTCATTTTGCACTTAAATATTAAGTTTATAACAAATATCAAAGAAATAAAAAATAAAAAGTAAAGGAAAGCATAGTTTACTGCAGTATAATATAAGAATTTCAATTACATATTTATTGTAGCGGCGAAGGCCTTTTTGTTTTTTTGCCAAACGCACCCATTTATCTATGCATTAAGCACTTAAGCAGCAATCTATGGTTTCAGGTTTACTTTTTTTTTAAATTTATTAGTGACCATGGTTGCGAGCATCTTCAGTCGAAAACATTACAGTATAACACAAATCCTACATTAAATTAAGAATATTTAACTTTAGCAATAACAATTTAGAATGGTTTTCCATCATTTTTCTCTTCAGCGATATCACTAATTTCACTGACAAGTGTCAACCTTTGAATCCCAAACGATGGGCACTGGAAAATTATGTGGTTTATGTCTGCATTATGTTGAGCGCAATGTGAATGAGCATTTGCCATCAGCTACGATCTTCATTCTGTACAGATGTGCAGGGACGAGGCAATGAGGCAATGGCCAAACCGCAAGCGGTTAATGATCGTTATGAACTTTCGGCCTTTTCAAGTTTACTGTGGTGCAATGTTGCCAGATGCCTTGAACCTTTTATCTGTAGTAGAAACAGCTAAAATCTGTATTAAATCTGTATGCTATTTAAACTCAAAATCTGTATAAAAGCCTATGGCACTAATATTATACAAAAAATAAAAATAAAAATTTTGAATTAAATAAATAAATAAATTAAAATCTAACGAAATATAATCATATCCACTCTACTTTACCAACGGCAATAAAACAATAAATTTAATTGCCATCTTTGACATTGTCACTTCACAGGATCACAAGCTAGGAGGGACATTATTTGGATTTCGATAGAATTCATTAATTTATTTATTTAATTCATTTTTTTTGTAAAATATCAGTGCCATAGGCTTCTACCACAAACTAATAAGTTTACGCTTCTACTCTGTTCACATGTTACATCCAATTTTTTTACAGATGGAAAAAAAGATTATCTAGTATACATATTTTATCAATATCAATGTACAGTAGAGCGTCGATTATCCGAACTAATTGGGGGAGATAGGTGTTCGGAAAACCGAATTATTCGGATAATCGAACTTTATAATTTTACAAATACAACACAAATTTTGTTTATTACAGTTACAAATAGGAATACAAATAAAGAATAGAGAGCTTGATTAAACAAAAAAATATTTTATAATCAATATTGAACATACAGTATGCCTATATAATTAACGTTTAAAGTAGTCTTTAATTTTGGTCTGTCGCAGCGAACCTACTATTATAATATAATATTATCTTATTATTACGATTTCTGTGAAACCTAGCACTTTTTTCATAACTGATATCTGATACTGATCGCTTTCATTTTGAGCTTCAAACCACCGAAAATCCAAGCATATAAACGCTTCAAAAGTAGTAGATATGTTTTCGTCTTCATTTACTGAACCACTAATTGATGAGGTACAGGCAGCGGTACAGTGATAGGGTATACCGATAGGGTACTGAACCACAAACTAATAAGAGTACGTAGTACGTACTGAACGTAGTAACGTAGGCCAACACTGGGCGCTGCGGGGCACTGCGGGCGTTGAAGGGGGGGAGGAGTGCATCTCAGCGTGGTATGGTAGCAGTTCGGTTAAGCGGTCGTTCGGTTGATCGACGTTCAGATAATCCACGCTCTACTGTATTTTATAATACGCTTGTAATGCTCCCATACTAAATAATTACGTTGTAAAAAATTAAATTAACCATAAAGAATAGAATCATGCAATGATGTGTTTAACGCGGTATCTAGTCATATATTTTGCTTCGTTCTGTTTTAAGTTGTATATTATGATGAATCAATGAATAGAGTTAAAAACTCTGTCTAAAATACTGTATCCAGTGTTAATCTGTATTACACACCGAAAATCTGTATAAATACGGAGAAATCTGTATATATGGCAACACTGCTGTGGTGTATTGTGTATAATGTATTGAGCACAGAACACTATTAGGCCCACCACATACACACGGAATTCTGTTTCGGAGTTCCGATTCGGGATTCCGAACGCAGCAAATCCATATAAAATCAAAAACCATTTAAAAAAAAATTTTGCGGGAATAACGGGATTCCATTTGTGTGTGGCCGACCCGTTCGTTCCGTTTCGGAATTCCGTATGTAGTGTGTGGCGGGCCTTACTCCTAGGTATATACTAGAGTAGGAAAGGTGCGTATTTACGCGACCACCTTCTACATAGTCAGTACAGTCAGACAGTCTTATACATAGGTTTATAAACTTGCAAGTACGCCGAGTCGCCGACCAAGTACCGACTAGGGATGTTCGATTATTATGGATGTTATAAATTAAAACATCGATGTCAATGAACCCATAATCAATAAATAAGAACTTGTAAACAATGAGAACCCGCGAAATCAGTATCAACTAAATCTTTCATCTCCTGTCAAAGGTTTAAATTTTGAATAATTCGGAATTCCGAAACGCGTCGATTACTCAAAAAATATCATAATAGTGTGTCAATTTTAACTGTCAAGTGTGAACTGTAATGTCACAGTAGTCACTGCTTTCGCTTTGTTATTCTATGATGTCGTTGTTGGTTGTCGCCTAATGACTATTCTACGTAAATTAACATTAAAATTAATTGTTTTCTCCTTACTGTCTATATCCACAAAATTTTGAAACAATATGTAAGTATCTACACAATTCAATAATATTTAGCTGCTTTTTTGACGTTGTCATAACGAGTTTATTATTTGCTTGAAGGTTATGAAAATAAATCACTATAAGCGATCGTGAGCATAGACCACTGACTTAGAAGTATATGGACTGGGCATACCTACAAAATTAGCGTGCCTACCTACAAAAATCTAGCACATAAAATGGCCGCCTTTTATAGGGTTGTAACTCTGCAATATGCGCAGCTGATATCGATATTTTAATTTAGCTAATATGATTTTTTTCTCATTTTATATAATTGGATTTGTTGCTTAATTTACTTTATTTTGTAGGTATTTACATAGATACAGGGCTGAATTTTCAATCGTCAAATAACTTATGTGGCGAATAAATGTGACCGACAGATTTATGGCTTTTGTGTAGATAGAAATTAAATCCTTCATTTGTTTATAGTATTACTGAGATGGTGATCCCAGATCTTATATTATTAATGTAAAATAATAATGATTAGTTGAGTAAAAATGAAATAAACTGTTTTAAAAATCAATACATATTTATCATATTTATTATTAATTTATCTGCACATAATTCATCACAAATATTATATACTATATTATTATTATTATTATTTATAACACGTGACGTGATTTAATTATGTTATTATTTTATTAATCCGTACGTTAATTTTGCAAAAACTCAGAAATGCCTCTCAATTAAGAGTTACAATCAAATCAAATTTAGGTGGTTATCTAGTAACATAATAAAATATAAATAGAAGATACACCTATTATAAGATAAGATGAAGGCACTGCACTACACAACAAAAAAACTTTTAGCATTCAACAGTTTGACAGCAGATCTACCACAAAACTCAGCACTTAACATGGCGACGCAGTCACGCATGGAAGAGCTATGACGTCACACGAAAGTGTTGTCAAAATAAACAATTGACAAACTGCTGTTGTCTCCCTTTTCTAATGTAGCTACTGCTTTGTTACAAAGAAACAAAAGTATTTTTGACAAGTGTGTGTCGATGTTATAGATATTTGTATAACTATTATTTCTATAGTAGAATACGGCGCCTCCATAGGTATTATTATCTCTATGGCATAGACATTTTCACTGCGGAGTGCATTCGACTGTGCATTTTATAAACGGCTGTGGAAACTTACTTCTTGGGCCGCTTGATTAAAAATTGTGAACAAAGGTGGCGGAAAAGTCTATTATTTCGTTTTTGTGTAGTTTTTAAATTATAATCTGTAGTCAGAGAATAGTTGATATAAACGCTACATCTAAATCTTAAATTTGGTTCCATAGTTAAGTTTTAATACCGGATTTATGAGTGTATAAAAATATTTAAGGATCAAAATAATAACATTCATCGTCATCGGCAAAATATAACAAATGTTAACGTCTTGGTTAATGTAATTTAACGTCTGGGCCTAAAGAGGTTGTTTTTTCTAGGGGTCTACGCCCCAGACATGTCTAAGCCCACTTATATCTGGATGGTGTTAATGAAATGTAAGGAAAATGAAAATATTGTTATGTTAGGAGATTTTACTGGAAGGGTTGGGGTAAGGAGGCTTGGCTATGAAAGGATACTGGGAACGTTTGGTGATGAAAGTATTAATGAGAATGATGAAAGCCTCCTCACCGTATGTGTGGAAAGCAATCTTTTTGTGACGAACACTTTCTTTCGTCATAAGAAGATTATATATACCATACTTGGGAAAGAGGTGACGATAGAAGCATGATAGATTTCATAACTGTGGATGAAAGAATGAGGAGAGCAGTGGTGGATACAAGGGTTTACCGGGAATTCAACGTAGGGACGGACCACTACCTGGTCTTATGCCGAATTAGGGGTTTATTCAGACGTTGGCGGCATCGAACATCTGTGTCTACCACTGCGTTACAGCGTATAAAAATTGAGAGGTTACAAGATGAAGATGTGAAAAACAAGTACAAATGTAGACTGAGAGAAAATATAAGTGACTTGGATGAGTTGTGTGTGAATGAGTTAGACTTGGAGAATGTGTGGCATAATGTTAAGAAAGGTTTAGTGGATGCAGCTACCGAAGTATGTGGTGTTAGTAAGAGAACGAATGAAAGGAAAGACAATACGTTATGGTGGGATGATGAGGTACGTATGGAATTTGAAGCAAAGAAGAGAGCATGGCTAGATTTACTAGCGACCAAAGCTGGTAATTCTGGCGGTAAGAATGATGAGATTGAAAGAAAAAAGGCAGAGTTTAAACGTCTAAATAAGAGATTAAAAGAATTAGTTGAAAGG